TCTCGCCCGCCGTCGGCCGGGGGGGCGCAAGCGCCAGCGGTCGGGGGAGGCAGCAGCAGGAGGAACCAGCAAGTGGCCGCCGCCCATCTCGGGCCTGCGCGCGGGCCACCGTGGTGACGATCAAGAGGGGGGAGGGGGAGGGGGAGGAAGCTTTTCGGCGGGGACGACGGACAGCAGCAGCATCAGCTGCGGCACGAGCGGGAGCGACAGCGAGTCGTGCTCCTCGTACGCGTCCCAGGGGGGGGTGCCGCCGTCGTCGACAACGGCGACCCACCAGAGGTTGGCGTGGCAACCCCCTCAATCGGGGGCGACGGCTGCGGGGAGAGGCGACGGCAGGGCGGACGGGAGCGGGGGCAGCGAGGCGGCGGCGGACGTGGCCGCCGCGAGCGCCGGCAACGGCGCGTCAGACACGGACAGCGAGTACTGCAGCGATTTAGCGGGCAGTGCCTCCCCCCCCTTGTCTCCGCTGGGGTTCGACGAATGCCCCCCGATCGCCGCCGCCGCCGCTGCTGCTACCGACGAGAGGGGAACGGCCTCGCCGAATGGCAAGAAGAAGTCGCGGGCGAGAGACGATGACGAGGAGGTGAGGGCGAGCAAAAAGCAGCAGCGGAACGTGGTGACCGTGAAGCTGGCCCGATCGCAGATGCCGTCGCGGTGGGCCGCGCCGCCGCCACCGTTCAAGACGTGCCTCAGGGACGTCCGGCCCGCCGACAAGCTGGGCGGTCGCGCGTGCGGTGGGGGCGGGGACGATGCGGCCGCCGCGGCGGCCGCCAGCATGCTCGGGCTCGGCGAGGGGGACGTTGTCGACGCGAAGAACTGGCTGAGCTCGGGGTTCATCGACGTGGTCATGGCCAAGTTCGCCCGCACGTACACGAACGTCCACTTCATGCCGATCGACTTCGCCGTGCTGTGTCTGAACGGGTGGGGCGCTTCCGACACGCCTCCTCCTGCCGCCGCCGCTTCAGGCGGCGACGCCATGGGCAGCGAGAGCGGCGGAGATGCCGCAGGGGCCGAAGCCGCGACGGCCGCCAACGCCGATCTCGCCGACCAGAGCATGGTCTTCAAGGATGTCCTCGGCAGGCCGATCGTGTACTCGGAGAAGCGGCCGGTGATCTTCCTGACCCACGTGAACAACGTCCACTGGAACCTCCTCCGCGTGGAGCACGACCCCGTTCCCGAGCTGCAGCTGTTCGAGCCGATGGGGAAGCCGCCGCGCCGTCAGGGGGGGTCGCGGTACACCCAGCAGCAGGCCGGGGGTGGGGGCGGAGGCGGGGCCCCCGGTGGGCGGAGCACAGGCTTCCGTTGCATCCCGAAAGAAGTGAGAGTGGTTGAAGTAGATTCAAGGCCGTCGGTCGCTACGCACCTCGGGTGTGTCTGTCATACATGTTCGTTCTTGTTTTCCCAGGCGCTTTGGGCATGGTTCATCGAGTCTCCTTCCTCACTTCGCCTGGTTTTCCTGATCGGTGGCATCTCTTGCTTGCTCGTTGGTGCATTGTATTGTTGTGTCATGTGTCTCATTTGTTCATTAGCAATGTTGAAACCTTCTTGGGCTTGTACGCTTAGCAGCTACCCCGGCCGGCGCAGATCCGCTCCCTTCCTCCAACAGCCAGTTGAAGAACATGGTCGATGATGAGTGTGTTTCTGCGTTCGCGCCAAAAGAGGTTGCCTCATTCATTCAGCTTTCGTCATCAAAGCCCTTATCCTGACAAAGCACGTTTTTTTACGCCCCCGCCCCACAGGTGTACCGTTGGCTTGACGCCGTGTGGCCGTTGCGCTCCGGGGGGGAAATACGCGGCGGGAGTTGCAGCAGCGGCAGCGGGGGGTCGAAGAGGAAAGCCCCCAGCCCCACGCCGTCCCACGAAGGCTGGGCCTCGCGCGCGTACTCGGCCATCACCCGGCAGCAGCAGACGACGGGGTTCGACTGCGGGGTGGCCTCCCTTCTGTACGCGGAGAAGTGCGGGCAGGGGCAGATGCGCGAGGATATTGACGCGTGGA